TAGGCATTTGCCCTGGGCATTTGGGGGGCGGCGTTTTTTGCCGCCCCCTGAAAAATGCCGCCCAAGGCAAATGCCTTGTTTGCCTCGCGGCTAATACGTCCCTGCCTAGTATTATTAAAATAGTAGATATAATCGCACTGAGACACTGCAATAGCATGCAGCTATTTAAAGCTCAAAGGACTGTTGGTTGTAAAGATAAGTAACTAGTAGTCTGAATGAACACAGTTCCTAATGAGCCTAGTAGCAGTTAATTTCCTATTAAACAATTTACTAACTGTAGCTCTACAGCTGTGGGATACAGTACGTGAGGAAAACCTACCAACATTTTAGGAGACAAATTTTACAGCATGTCAATACAGTTACCAATTTAAATATCATCACTCCAGTAGCCAACCATATTAGGCAAGTACATAACAGCGATGTATCCAACCTTAAATTTCGGGCTCTTGAACTAATCACCCTGAATTCCAGAAAGGGTAATTTTAATATTTTTTTTTGTGTGCAATTTTTATGGTTTTACAATGTGTACAGATTTACATTCCAACATGGTACATTGTTTAGCGTAAGCGTTCACATTTTTGAGATGAAATATTCTTGAATTACATCATACTTTGTTACATCATACATATTATAATTCTTTCAGCTCTTTATTCCAGATGAGCTCTAGTGGTGGTGCTGTTTGTGCTGGTTTCTGGTCTTAACTTAGAAATGTACTGTACGTTCCTAATGGTGGTTGGGTTGGTATGGGGGGTTGAACTTGGAGGTAGAACCAGGATTCAGTTCCCCAAAGAACTGGGGAAGGGGGGGGATAGGGAAGAGGGTCGACCCGTGTTGCATCTACTCATTTTGTGTCATTTATCTTGGAGCATCATTTGTGGTTTTCCATTATTGTTCGTTATCGTTGGGGCCTTTACTTTGTATTAGTGGTTTTGTGGCGTGTGTTGGTGCCTGTTCCACCTTTCCTACGCCACCTTCCAGTATGTCTGTGGGGGTCTATGCACTCTAGCCGCCATTTCATACATTTTCGTATCTTCAATTTGTTGAATGCATTAATTTATGTGCGGAGGTTTTGTTTGTAGCCATTTTCTGCTTATACTTGTGGGTGCGGCGGAAGTAATGTGGTTTATTAAGTATCTGTCAGCTTTTTTAATGCTAGTTGGTAGGCACTGGAGGATGTAGTGTTCAGGTGCTTGTGGTAGGTTAGTCTTGGTCAGACTTTTGTATTAGGGAGTGTATGTCCGTCCACAGTTTCCCCAGATCTGGGTATGTCCACCACATGTGCAGCATTGTTCCTGGGTGTTTTTTGCATCTCCAAAATATCCCTGAATGTGCCGGTGTGATATGTTTCATTCGTGTAGGGACCAAGTACCAACGGTACAGTATTTTCCTACTTATTTCCAAATGGGACGTGTTCAGTGTTAGGGTTTTGTTTGTGCAGAATAGGGTAATTTTAATTTAAAACTGCTAAGACAAGAGTCCAAATGGATACATAATTTTCAAACATTGGCACCTCTAGGTTTAAACGAGGAGTTTAATTTCACTCCCTTTATTCATGGATAACTATTGTGGTCTTTGACTCTATAATAAGCTATACAACAAGTTTTTCTCACATTCTGACAGCCATCCTTTTTTGATTGAAATTATTTCAATTGCCCTTTAACTCTTAATTTAGCATTTTTTATTCCTTAGCATTATTTATTTCATTTTTTTGTATATTTATTCAGTTATTCTTTTATTTTTATCATTTACACTTTGTTTGTCTTTGGATTGTAGGTAATCTTACTATAATTACCACTGAGACACCTCTTGATCTCTATCTTTATGAAGCTAACTGTTGTCGGAAGTCTCAACTTTCAACAATTAGTTTTAACTTCCGAACTCCGAACCTATACTAGACCGATTCCACCTTTTAGCCAATGGTTATTATCTCTTTGTGGCTAGTAACCATCTATCATATTATAGTATTAACTTTATATTTAACAGTGATTATATCGGCATGTTTGCTCACTGTCACCTTAGGGTTATACAAATTCTACTGTGCCGTACATCACTCATCATGTCTCTGGCTTAAATATGTACCTGCAAATACTCATGCCTTCTTAGAATCCGTATATGTATCACCATTTGTAACAATGGAACTGGCAAAATAGTATTATTACAGATTATACAGAGGACATACTGTGATTATGCTTATTGACATATCTTTTAAAAATGTATTTAATTGAAATTATCGACATCTTCTCCATGTATATACATTATTATGTCCAGGTATCACAATTACGGAAAATTGAATTGACAAAATAGTATTATCAAAGTTCAGGCAGCTGATAAACTATCGCGGCTAATAATAAAATTCTGTTCTTCTATCTGCCGGTACATCCATGCATCAAGCAAGCTGTTATTATTTTTAAGCCATCATGAGACCATACTTGGAGAGACTTTCTGACAAAACTGCACTGTTCTTTTTCGTCTCCCATTATCTTTGAATCTGTGTATCATTGTCATGCCAAGTTTAACACACTTTGCATCCATTTCTGGACTATACTTTAGCCGACACACACTGTTCTATATATAAAGAGATGACTGTTCTTGCAATAACGACTTATTTATATATTTCATACCTGATCAGCATCTAGCGGCGATGCTTTCAGCTATATTCTTAGCAAGTTTCTTGGACCTAATCATTCGAATCCACTGATAATTACTTAAGTGTATATGATTTCTATACATTATTTCTAGTAGGCAACACAGTCTGTATGCTTTTTTATTAAGTCTAGCCATACTCTTTATTAATTTTATTTTATCTTTAATTTTATTCTCATGCTTTATTTATTTCTCGGTTTTCACTATGCCATCATACAATAATTGGGTATTTAGTTATACCCATAAATCATACACATTATACGGTGTTTTACTGTGCACAGTTCTGTGGATTGGTTTCTACTCTCCTTCCTCCGTGTTTTCACGATTTCCTTCCCATTCATTATTGAAATTACAACTCCCGGTGCACTGACAGCCCATTGGTACATTCAAATGTGGCTGATCCAATTAGATTGCAGTATCTCCTTTTTAAACTGGCAATAGTTTATTCCAGTTTCCCTCTGATAAGCTGAATAAGCGAAACGCGTCTCAGGGGCATCTCTGCTATCACTAGCATCTTACCAAAGAACAGCTACCAAGCACATTAGGAACTTTATTCATTCAGACTACTAGTTACTTATCTTTACAACCAACGGTCCTTATAGCTGCATGCTATCTCAGTGTCTCAGTGCGATTATATCTACTATTATAATAATACTAGGTTTGTTACTATTCTTCTATTCTCTGGGGTGGTGGCTATACCTATAACACAGGATAGCACAGGGCAAGTGTTTTTGTCAGGGTAAGGGGTTCCCTCAAAGGCACAATAAGGCTTATTAGTCTATTTTCTTATTTCCCCTCTTACTGTATATTTGTACTCCCCCACTCGTACCATTCCTATTAATTGTGTGCAGTTATATTACAGATATCCTACCACTGCATCTCCACACGCAGCGGAAAGACCGACCATAGACCTTTGCAGCTATTTTATTATAGTTTGTGCAACAACTATTGCAACATTGTATTGTACTTAATATTGGAGCGATTCAACTTACAATAATTTTGCACTTTATTCTAGTGCTGAGACCAAGTATAGATACATATTCTCTCAACAATCGTTGCATTATTGATACTACTCAATAGTAAGATAGGTTAGCATAATATACTCCTATATTTTTGAGCGCAGGCTACAAGGGACCTTGGACACAGTAGTCTATATCATATTACCGTGTTGGTGTGTAGTATGTATTCATCTATACATATTTTTGCACCTAAACTGTGAAAGTTGTCTGACGCCATGACACATTTTTCCACTATTTAGTGTTCTTCTGAGAACTCCATTAGGGTGTTAGTTTACTACTTCCACTAGTGGCTATTCTAGCCATTACATTATACACATTCATTTTTATTCTGTGTGTATATCTATTATTTCTGTCTTTTTATTGTAGTATTATTTTTTGTTTCTATCTTTTTTTTGTTGACCAGTTCTTGTTCTTCTTAGTCCCCATTAGTTGGACTTTTTTATTAGACCTATTAAATGGTAAGTTTTAATATCAGTTATTGCACCGTTTACTATTCCTTTCCCATTTGTTTTATGCTGCATCCTCCAATTCTCCTTTTTTGTATATTTATCTACAGGAGTTAACTCCCACCTAGAGTTGAGCGGACACCTGGATATTCGGGTCCGGCGGGTTCGACCGAACTTTGAAAAAAAAGTCTGGGTTCGGGCTCGAACTTGACCCCGAACTTGAACCCCATTGAAATCAATGGGGACCCGAATTTTTGGCCACAAAAATGCCTCTAAAAACTCCTGGAAAGGGCTGGAGAACTGTGAAAGCAAGTAAAATGGGGGTAAGAGTAGGACAAGTGCCCTGCAAACAAATGTGGATAGGGAAATCACTTAAAATAACATAAAAATTTAAAATACAGCTGAGCCATAAAATAGCACTAGATGGAATCTTTGATTTTAGCTTTGGAAGAACATAAATCAAAATCTAAAGCATGGCTGTCAGGAGGATCACCAGAATTTTCCATTTGGGAGAGGGTTGGAGTGCAAGGTATTCTCTTTCATTGTTCAAACTGAGCTCCACTCCTGAGGCATGGAGAAAAGGCATTCACAAGCCTCTGCTATTGTGTACATGGTTTATACTAAGTGACCCATAGGTTGAGGAGGCGGTGACCGTGGCGGTGGAGGTATCCAACACTGTATTTTATGTTTTTTTGTTTTTTTTTATTGTGGTAGCCCACAAAATATTGGGACATACAAATAAAGAAACATTTGCAGCCTGCGGTGCATTTCTTGCAGTCCTGATGCATGGAGAAATGCTCAACTCCTGATGCATGGAGAAAAGGCCTTCACAAGCCTCTGCTAATGTGTACCTAGTTTATACTAAGTGACCCATAGGTTGAGGAGGCGGTGACCGTGGCGGTGGAGGAGGAGGATGAGGTAGCCAACACTGTTTATATATATATATATATATATATATATTTATTTTTTTAATTTTTTTTATTGGGTAGCCCCCAAAATATTGGGACATATAAAAAAAGACAACTCTGTTCCGCAGAGTAGCTGTTGACATTATAGTTGCGCAGGCACTTTGTTGACTCTAGAGAACCTCGGGCCAATCGCACATCCCCGTGGCGGCGACTTTGCATGCGGATGTCATCCATATCAACTTTCGATGCCAGTTTCTGCGCCTACCATGGTGACCACGGGTAACGGGGAATCAGGGTTCCATTCCATACAGGGACCCTGAGAAACGGCTACCACATGCAAGGAAGGCAGCAGGCGCGCAAATGACCCACTCCCGACGCGGGAAGGTAGTGATGACAAATAACAATACAGGACTCTTTAGAGGCCCTGTAATTGTAATGAGTCCACTTGAAATCCTTTAACTCTGATCAATTGGAGGGAAGTCTGGTGCAGAGCCACTGACCCGTGTGTGCTGCAGCTGAAACTCCACTATCGCCTGCTGCTGCTCGCACAGTCTCATGAGGCGGTGAGCGGGAAGGCCGAAGTTACGCTGCAGCGCAGACAGGCGAGCAGCAGCAGGGTGACAACGCCAAAAGCGCGCACAGCCGCTACAGTGAATGTCACATCCTGTTCCAAGTTGCGGATCAGTCTGGTGATGGCTTCTGGTATCCAGTACTCTTTTTACTGAAGCTGCATCAGGGTCCTGGTATGTGGCCGCACAAATGCTGGTGCTCAACACCAGGGGGCGTGCGGTTACCCTGCACCAGACCCTGCTAATCCATTCCACACTGTGACTCCTAACTTCAACATCAGGCATACTGGGTCCCGGTCACCGGACTGCCCACCTCACTGTGAAACTACGAATGGATCGTTAAATCTGGTACGAACCTGAACTTTGCAGTTCGGGTTCGCTCAACTCTATTATGGATCCTTTGATCGCTACATGTATTACTTGGATAACTGGTAATTCTCGAGCTAATACATGCCGACGAGCGGTAGGGGACGGCCGCTCTGCTTTTGCACCCTGCTCCGTGCTGTGCTGGTGCCTCTGTGCGACCAGCGCCTCTTCCTCCAAACTGCACACGTCACTCGCATGACCTTGATTCCTTGTGGGGTCTAGGACCTCATCATCCTCCACATCATCTTCCACCCACTCCTCAACCCTGCCCTCCTTGCCGGTATGCACACTGCAGAAATACACAGCAGTTGGCACCTGTGTTTTTCCAGCATGTAAAGTCTGCAAAGGACATGTGGAAATTGTTTTAGAATTTCCTCCAGGCAACAGTTTTCCCTATAAACTGACCTCTCAGTTTGACTTGTGAGCTTATTGCCCCAGAATTACAATATTATTTAAGTACCTCTTAGCTATTGATCACTGGTTTAAATATAGCAGCTTGTTATCTGGTAGTTTCTAGTGTAGAAAATATCAATCTGTTTTCTATCACTTAGATCTGTGTAACAAGTGTTGTAAGTGTGAAACAATATTACAAGTGACCGATGTAGTAAATTAGAATCAAAGTTAAGCTTCAATTTGACTCTCAGATATGACGTGAACACCCCAAATATACTATTTAGCACCCCCCCCCCCAAAAAAAATTGACTTTTAAAAACTCCAATGTAACAGCATATTAGCAGCAAAACAATTGGAATGTTTACCGCTGAGCAGTAAGCGCACTATTTGACGCTTCTATTTGACTCTCAGATATGAAGTGCACCGCAGGGCCCAAAATGTACTATTTAGCAGTTTGGCACCAAAACAATTAGCATGTTTACAATTGCGCTGTAACCGCACTATTAGATGTTTCGATTTGACTCTTAGATATGAAGAACAGGCCCCAAAATGTACTATTTAGCAGATTAGCAGCAAAACAATTAGAATGTTTACAAGTGCGCAGTAACCGCACTATTAGACACTTCGATCTGACTCTCAGATATGAAGAACAGGCCCCAAAATGTACTATTGAGCAGATTAGCACCCAGAAAATAAGAATATTTACCACTGCGCTGTAAGCACACTATTAGTAGACGCTTCGATTTGACTCTCAGATATGAAGTGCACCCCACTAATATACTATTTAGCAGTTTAGGACCCAAAACATTTTTAAGTTTTAAAACTGCAATGTGACAGCAGTATTTGACGCTTCTATTTGACTCTCAGATATGAAGTGCACCCCACTAATGTATTACCCCACTAATGTACTATTTCGCACCAAAAAGATTTTACTTTTTAAAACTCAGAGGTAACCAGGGTATTTGAAGCTTCTATTTGACTCTCAGATATGAAGTGCACCTCACCCCACTAAGCCTTTGAAAACGCGCCATTAAATCGTCGAACACCGAACTCCAATTCGAACATACAATGATATGTCCATGTTCGGGACCGGGGTCCAAAAAAAACCTAATGTTCGGTACGAACTCGAACTTTTCAGTTCGGGTTTGCTCAACTCTACCCCACAACTAAGAGGTTTTGCAACTATAGGCTCCTTCTCTTTCTTGTGAACATAGAAACTGTACCCTTTACATCTGGTAACATTTTCCTGATAAACCCAACCACCAGTAATAAAGTCCAAGTCTTGTGAGAGTGGTCTCTTTTTCTTCATATGGTTTTAGGGGGATCACCCGCTTACTGTGGTTTAGATACTTAAAGGGACACTCCAGGCACCCAGACCACTTCTGCTCATTGGAGTGGTCAACTCCCACTACCCTTAACCCTGCAAGTGTAATTATTGCAGTTTTTTATAAACTGTAATAATTACCTTGCAGGGTTAACTCCACCTCTAGTGGCTATCTAGTACTAGACAGCCACTAGAAGGCACTTCCGTGTCCCTAGCACAGTGCTAGAGCGTCGCTGGACGTCCTCACGCTGTGTGAGAACCTCCAGCGTCGCTCATTTCCCCATTGGAAAGCATTGAAAAGCATTTTCAATGCTTTCCTATGGGGAGCTCTAATGCGCATGCGCGGCAATTAGGTCTCCCCAGCCAGTGGGCAGGATCAGTCTCGCCCACCGGCCGATGCAGTCACTGGGAGGAGCGGTGACGGAGGAAGAAGCAGCGACGTGGGACATCGTCGCTGCCTCTGGTAAGTTACTGAAGGGGTTTTCACCCCTTCAGCAACCGGGGATTGGGGGGTGGGAGGGAGAGGGGACCTGCAGTGCCAGGAAAACGGATTGTTTTCCTGGCACTGGAGTTTCCCTTTAACCCAAAATTGCTTACGCACTAAATTATAAGTGACACCTTTTTAGTTATATTTTAGGAAAATATTATAATTGGAGAAATTATTCATCCGTTATATAAATATACCTTAATCACGCCTGTTTTTAGAAACAAAACTTTTGTGCTAGAGGCTAGTTACAACCCCGGCACATGTATGTGACAGAGTTCTGGGCTGCCTAATATCAATCCTGTTCAAAAATGACATCTAATGTCAATCTCTACACTTCCAGGCAGCACTCTCCTTTAATTGACCTACACTGCAGCCCCTGGCTCTCTATAGTAGGGATCGATGATTAATTTTGTAGAGCCGATGCCAATAATTTGTGAACTTTTAGGCCGATATCTTGCCGATACCGATATTCTGTACCTTTTTTTTTTTTTACGTAAATGCACAAAATATACATGCCAGTCAGATTTTTTTGTTTTTAAGAACATTTAGTGTTCCTCTCCCTTCCCCTCCTCTCCCCTCCCTTCAATGTCCCTTAGTGTTCCACTCCCTTCCCTTCCCTGTCTCTTAGTGTACCTCTCTCCCCTCCCTTCCCCTTACTGTACTTTCCCCTCCCTTCCCTTAGTGGTTCTCTCCGCTCCCCCCTCTCTCTCTCTCTATCTTTAAGTGTGTCGTCGTCCCTCTCCTTAGTGGTCCTCTCCCCTCCATGGTGTGCCTCATTATCTCTCTTATAGCGCAGCCGACCGCGGTACAGGAGCTTCAGTTTCCTGTACCCGGCTTGACTGACAGGAAGTACTCTCTCAGTGAGCACTTCCTGTCAGTCCGGCAGGGTATAGGACACTGAAGCTTCTGTACCACAGTCTGCTCTGCTCAACCATGCTACACTGAGTAACTGTGCGCTTCCTTCCTGCCGGTCACTCGATTCTTTCACCCCTAGAGCCGGTGCTCCCTAAAACTGCCGCCTGTGCTGCCTTATGGACGTGCCAACACTGCGTGCACTGGCCACAGCTGCCTCTCACATTATCAGCAATATCTGTATCAATAGTGGTTGATACTGATATTTGCCAAAACCCAGAATATCAACCGACAATATCTGCAGAACCGATTATCAGTCTATCCTTACTCTATAGTGCTTGTTTTTGGTGAGGATTTCTGACACCCTCCTTCTTTCTCCCTCCCAGGCTCAGAGTGCTTACATGTGCTCTGAGCCAGGAGAACAGTCCTCTCAAATGCTTCTCTATGAGAGGCTGTGATGTAGGACAGGGTGTGGAATCCACTGAAGGGGAGCTTTGCACGGCGCTGGTTTCCAGGTACGTTCTTATTTTAATTATAGGGTTTGATGGATGAGGGGCGCTAATAACTAATGCCCAATAGGGCATTCTAGTTTAAAAAAAGGGTTGGAGCAAACCTTTAAACATATAGAACTGTACACAGGGCCAATGCAAATAATTGTCTGGTTACCTGTTCATTAGCATGACTTCACCTAAAAAATATCACCTATTGCAGAGGAAAAGGTTTTTACACTTAGTAAAATAAAAATGTAGAATATGAAAGATATGGAATTCTCTGAACACCTTGTTTTATTATATTCACAAGATGTCTTTATATAGGTATGGATGATTTTTGCCAAAAGGGATATTAATATATGCATTTTTTATCAAACATTCTCAGTTACACTTTATAGGGGAGAGATAAATGTTTTCTCTCTTTGTTGCATGTTAGTAAATTGTGACAGGCCCGGTCACAGCTGTGACTCCTGTGACCGTGGGCCAACGCAACTTCGGGGCTGTTGCACCAGCCCAGGGACCCACGATTGCCAGGTGACCAGTAGGAGGGGAGTGCTACATCCACTCCATATATATATATATACAGTGGCATACACATGACCCATGGGGCCCCGGTGCGAAAATTGATCCGTGGGCCCCCCCGGCGCGCGGGCCGGGCCGCAACACATGGCGGTGGGCACCAGGTCGCAGGGGTTATAGGGCTGCGACCCCTGTGACCACGGTATGTACACCAGTGCATGCAGATGCACACACAGTTAAAGGACCACTCTAGGCACCCAGACCACTTCAGCTTAATGAAGTGGTCTGGGTGCCAGGTCCAGCTAGGGTAACCCATTTTTTCATAAACATAGCAGTTATGCTATGTTTATGAATGGGTTAAGCCTTCCCCTATTTCCTCTAGCGGCTGTCT